ACTAAGTGGTGGCAGTCCACAAATTCTGACCAAGGTATCACAGGAGCTTCTCCAGAGTCTTACGCACTTTGTGCAGCCAGCCTCCTCTGGTCTGTGTGGCAAAGCTGACGTACTGCTTCATACTGACGTCTGATTGTGTGCTTCGGTGAGGAGTGGCTTCGTATGCCTCCACAGTTTTTCCAAAATGACAGAGATGACCAGATGTCAGCGTGTGATTCAGATTCTCTTTTTTCTGCGCAGTGCACCGTGTTATCAGGCTTTCACAGCGGTTGCCAGCTGTCACAGTCTGCAACCACAGAGTCACTGAGCTTGGAAGGGACCTCTTGAGATCTTCTAGTCCAGCCAGCTCCTCTTTCTTAAGCAATGACTCCAAGCATTTAGATGCACTTGGGAGAAATAACTGTGTGTGTGTATGCATACATTGACACGTGCATTCTTTGACTGCTTTTCAGATGTGGATAACAAATGACTAGACTTTGCCTTTGTAGGGGCATGGTATGTAGTATCTGAGAAACTGCACACCACAGAACACTGTGTTTCTCCCGTTAAGATAAAGTCTGCCTAAGAGCAGACTTTTGTGGCTGTTTTTCTGCAAGCTGCTTTGCTCCCCTTGCCTTGCCCGCTTGCAGAGAAAGCAAGCAGCCAGGTTTGTTGACTCTGGTACTTGAGAAGGATCCAGAACCTTCCATTACAGCGCAAGGAAGGCTCCATCGTCCAAACTCAGTTCCTTATGGAGCCAGTGCCACACTGACTATAGTTTTCTGCACAGCCTCAAAGAAGAAACTACCTTGTGTGCTCTTTACTCCTGCTCTTCCCCATCCAATGTTCTGGTTCTCTTACCTCTGTCAGGATCCTCAGGCAAGAGGGTCACAAGCCCGTGCTGTGGGGTGTCTTCACTATGTCTTTGGGTACTTTGTGGTGCCAGCAGGTGCAAGCTTGCTCACTCTTGTTTCATTTCAGTTGATCTGGAGATCTCTGCGCCATCCTGATTCTTAGCTGCTCAGTGAACATAACAGAAATCTCACCATGAGCAAAGGCAGTCTGAATTTAGTGCTTCCAAAGCTCGCTTCTCCCGTGATTGCTCCTGAACGCTAAGGGACCTTTCTGAGATCTTCCGTGGAGCCACGTGCTGTGGCATGAGAGACACAAGCAGCTCTTGGCAGGACAATCCTCCAGGCACTCCTCTCCTGGAGACCCCAAATAACCAAGTCAGATCGTGCGACGCTGTTATGAACCACCCATGGTGTGAACGTAGTATGAGTAAGTGCTTGCAGGAGAGAGGAAGGTTTAACCAAAAGCTGGGAGTTGAGATGGAAACAACCCAACTCTGTGGGTTGTTTCCAGCTACCTAACCCCAACTTTGAGCCTCCTCATATCATTTAGATTTTTTGAGGTACAGTTTATAGCTTTGACAGATCACTCTACCATTAGTTTTCAATAGTTTTCTTTTTTTTAAATCCTTCCTCTCGTGTAGCAGGCATAGTATAGCCTGGAAATAACAAGCAGTGACTGCGTTACCTGTCCTAAACGCTGAAGCCAAATCCTTTCTGCCTCATTCTGCAAAGTCTGATATTTCAGCAACTTGAGTTCTCATTCAGACTGAAACTAATTTATTAAAGTGAGAATCCTGGAAGGGAACTTTTTTTATTGTAATTGGTCTTAAGCTTGGTCAGCTTCTGAGACTTCCGAGGCTTCGATGTCCATTCGAAGACAGTATTTTAAGTGAAACAAACCCAGGCGGAAATCAATGGTAAATTGGTTAAATTTGACCAAGGTAAATTTCACAGCAGTTTTACAGCTTTATTGTACAAGAAAAATGTAATCTTACACTACCTCTGTTAATAGAGCTCTGATTTTAAGGGTACTGATGCCGCTGTAATTCCACCTGGTTAATCAGGGCATTTATGTGTAAACTCTCCAGCAAACTCTTCGACTCTTGCAGCATGTGCTTCCCGCTCCGTGCTGCTGTGACGCTGCTGTTGCTGCACTGAAACCTTTAGAAAGCTGAAGGGCTTTCGTTACTTTTTAAGTCACTGTGGTTTTCCTCCATCTTACTGGTAGGTTTCTCCCTGTTGCTTTTCTAGCGGAGGTCGGTTGTAGCAATCCACTTGAAAAGTGCGTAGAAGCTGGACTCTTTTGGTGTGGGTTTTTTGGTGAGTTCCCCCCCACCCAGAGTTGTTTCAAACACTGTTGAAGCCTCGTCTTTGAAGTGCGAAGTGAAGCACTTGTGTGTGCATGGAATCATTATTCCTTTGTTTATTGCTAGACTTGATAGTTTTGTGATCTGGGTACAAGGCAGGCAGGAAAGTCTTTCCTAGTCTCATAGTCCTTTATTTTTGGCCTTTATTAGTTCCGAGTAGAGCTCTTCACTTGACACGAGCTGGTGTAGCTGCATCTAGTGAATGTTGGAAGGTTTCCAGGTGAGACTGTGCGTACGTAATACGGTGAAACACTACTTTTTCCAAGTGGGGATGTTTGCCTCTGGCTATAGGAGCATTTTCCTTGGACTTTGGAAGCAGACTGCCTCTTCAGAGAGTTCTTGTGTTTAAATTTTTCAGGCATGGATTGCTTTTCTTTCCTCTTGCAGTGCCTGACCAGTAACGAAGGTGTTCGGCAGGGTCCCTGTTACACTGCGACAGCCGTGCCGCTTTTCAGTGCTGCTGGTGCAGGGTCTGCCTGGCAGCCACTGCCAGGGCTCAGCACAGGGGATTCAGTTAGGACTGGTGCTAACCAAAAAAAAAGAAAAAGAAAAGGGCACAAAATTTCAGCAGGGAGCAATTTGGCAAGCAGCAGGAACTTCAGAGAGTGAACAGAAAATGATGGTGAAGATGGGAGGGAGAAAGGAAGAAAAGATGCTTGGGAAATGAAAAGCATCTTCTGTGCCTCAAGCTAGCAAGCAGTCAGCTGGAGAATAAAGTGAAAACCTGCAGAAGTGCTCGAAGGTGATGAGAAAGGTGGTCCGTTCAGGCTATGAAAAGAGCAGGGTTGTGGGCATGGTGTGTTTTCACACGCTTTCACGCTCTGTAAGTTTTTAAGGAAGAGACAATCCAGAAAAATATTTTTGAGAATGGGGAAAAAGCACTCAATGAGGATCAAAGCACAAGGTTTGAGCTGGGGACAGGCAGGGTCCTCTCCAGAGTTCTCGAGACTATACTAGATGACGTACATCGCTTGAGGGCAACTCTTTAAGCCGCTGCTTTAGGTGGGTACGAGGTGGTGGCAGGTCCAGGTGAGCTGGGAGGCTGCCGAGGAGTCCACAGAGCGGAGAGGCGATGCTGAGGAGAGGGACGAACGCAGCGGATGCGCATGTGTGCGGTGATGCTGCGCAGAGCTCGCAGCAGGGTCATTTCTGCCGTGGCTACAGAGCCGAGGCTCCCTGTGATCTACTCTTGTCGCAGCCTGTGGTTAATTCTATAACGCAGCTTTGCTTTGCCGTGGGGAAGCTCTCTATTTTTCCCGTATCAGTCCATCCCTTATGGACGTCGTGCGCTATAGCATCCAGTGCAGAGCCCGGGAGTTGTCGTACACAGAGCTGTGTCACGGAAACCCCGTATCTGTTAGCAATGATTCTCATACCCTGTAAGAGACTGCTGAAGTTATAGTCTAGCTAGCGTGTGTCGTTCCGTCGGTTTATAAACAGGGTCTTTCAGGACGGGTGAGATGAGCTGTGTCACCTCCAGTGAGGTCAGAGAAATGATGTCATACCCTTTGGGCAGAGGCTGTTTGAGAAGGATGCCCAGTGAGGTTCAACAGCATTTTTGAGGGTTTATGAGGCTACAGCCAGGTAAGTAGCTCAAGGAAAAATAAAAAATACCTGAATTCAAGGTTGGGTAGGACTTTCCCTGACACCTGGTACCTGAGACGGGGACGTTAAAGTTAAGAGGATGGCTATGGAGGGAACAGAAGGAAGTATGTCCTCTGGTACCCTGAGGGGGGCGGCTACAGTAGCTCACATAAAATAACCTGAAAAGAGCCTAGACAGTTTCTCAAAATTAATTATTTGGGGATACATACTTCCAGGGGTTCTGTGTGGCTAGGATGGACTCAGTGAATATATTCCTGAGCAACCAGGAACGTTTCCTCCATGAGCAATATTGAGATGGAGCATTTGGAAGCACTGAGTAGCTGTGCTGGTGGTGCTGAGGGCATCTCAAAGCATCTCTCAAAAGAGAATTTTTTATTAACTTGGTACGTACAAGGAAAAGGGAGAAATAATTTTCAAAGCTGTATTACCCTCAAGAGGGACAAAGATGGAGAAGGCCAGATTTTCACGCAACTCAAATGGGTTTGCTGTCATTTATTTTCACCAGGCAAGGAATTGGCACAAAACTGCGTCACGGCATAGCGAGCTGAGGAGGCAAAGCAGCATCTTGGTGTGAAATGTGATTAATTCCTTAATATTATTTATGTGATTTTTAATGATGTATATTTTCAGGCTAACTCTGCTGTGGTTTGTTGCAGCTGCAGAACATATCTTTTCACCGTTTCATTCCTTTGTGCTTCCATGTCCATTCTGTCTTCTCTTTTCTTTAAATAGCAGCCCCGGAGCAACCATGCAGCCAACAACTGCTGTAGTTTGATTTTTGTGTTTTCTTAACTAATATGATCTTCAAGGGATTTGGGTAAAAGCTGCGAGTAGAAATAGAATAGTTCTGGAAAAGGCCTGTATTGCGGATCTGCTGTACTCCATTCGATTAGAGAAGTGTTTAAAATCCAGGAAATCTGGAATAACTGTTTCCATATTTTTCTAAAGTGCTCCCTTGATTTTGAAATGGAAGTTCATGATGTTATTTTTTAGTAATCTTTTTTAGATTATTTAGTATTTTATAGTAAAGTCAGTATTTGAGAATACAGTACTGAACACAGAGATGCCCTGTTAGTGATCAACGTGCTCCATTTGCATGCAGCAAGGGGAAATGTATGTAAGGTTTGAGCTTGTGCTTAGCAATAAATAGAGCATTTATATTTTAATACCTGTTGATTACTCTGTATTCTTTCAGCGCTATCCAACTGACAAGGCATACTTCATAGCAAAGGAGATTCTTGCTACAGAACGGACGTATTTAAAGGACCTGGAAGTTATTACAGTGGTAAGGGTTTTTAACTTTCTTTAATGCTTTTCCTTAACAGATTTGTAATTGTTAATTTGGAAAAACTTGGAATTTCTTCCAGGTAGCAGAAGGATGTCCTATGATAAAGCATAATCCATGAGCCATGTAGCTTACCTTCCTTGTTCTCTAGGTTCTCACGTGGGAGAGCAGATACCTTCTCTGGACTTGTATCGTTGGCTCCAACAGCTACATCACATGTCATTGCGATGTCTTAGGCAAACTTTCACTCTGAAAATTGTGAACAGGGGCAGCCTAAAAATGTTTTGCATTCAGCTTCAATGATAGTCACTGCTGTCAGCTCTGCTTAGAATCCAGCCGTCACCTCTGCGGTATTCCTTGGGAAGCTTTTCTCTTTGTGCTCTCACATCGTGAGAGCCGATGAAAGTTGCAAAGGGTATTAAGGATCCATAGGGGTTTGAGGAGTTTTGTCTTTTTTTGTTGCTGCTTTTTCTTTCCCCTCTTTCACCCAGAGTAAGAGAAGTGAGTCCTTGTTTGGAGGACAGCTTGAGTTTCCAACTCTTTCTTTAAGAATTTTTTGTTCCTTTACTTCAGGTTTGCACACTGTGACTGTTGCATTTCTATAAGCTACTGTTTTTGTTTCATCAAAGAGAAGTTTGAGTCCCTTACTGCTGTCTGTCTTCAGCTGAGGTATTCTCTGCCAGCTCAGTGAGCACCATCTCACTCAAATTCCTCCTACAGGCTTCCCAGCTCTTCCCCTAAAAGATGGGGGAACATCTGGCACCTCAGAGGATTTTTGTAATACTCCCGTCCCTGCCAGAAAGCAGGGAACCGAAAGCGCTAAAAAAGTGCAGTATGTGACACGCAGCAAGATGTCTTCAGCTGCTGAGTGTCTTGCACAGGGCTCCAGGTTGTATGAAAGAGCAGTTGTATCTGCGTTGAAGTGAAAGCAGTGGTGTAACATCAGCTGTGGCAGCCACTCGGTAATTGACTGTGATTTAGAGCCGTTACCAGCCATCTCATCATTGCATTAGGAAACACACGCCCAGAACCAATAATAAACCTCATACTTGTAATGTTTGGCAAGGAAAGAAATTACATCTTTTCATCTTTCCCAGATTCCATCTTCCCTAAATGTTTCTCCTTCCTTCCTGCTGTTACCCTGTGCACACCCTTTCTCTTCCCCCATCGCTGCAGGAGCAGAAATTTGTATTCTAGTGATGAATTTCTTAAATAGAAACACTTATCGTTTATGATTTTTCCGGCAGTGGTTTCGCAGCGCAGTCATCAAGGAGAACGCTATGCCAGAGGGCCTGATGACATTACTCTTCTCTAACATCGACCCGATTTATGAGTTTCATCGAGGCTTTCTGAAAGAGATTGAGCAAAGGCTGTCGCTCTGGTAAGCGTTAATAGTGCAGCGCGTGGGCAGCGAGCTGCGGGACCTTTTCCTACGTCCTCCCATCACAACCGTACTTAATCTATATTTGAACTGGTATTTCTGCTTAAATAGAATTAAGGGAAAAATATTTTAATAAAATGACTAAATAGGTTTTGCAAAGGCCATTTTTCAAGCGCTCCCTTGCACATAATATCCTGTAGCCATATAGATTGTACACCAGACCACGGCTTTTGTAATCACAGAATCATTTGGGTTGGAAAAGACCTTCAGATCATTGAGTCCAACCGTTAATATAATTTGTTGTCTATGTAGCCTTAGAAAAGAGAAGGAACACAAGGTCAAAAAGGTTGTGTGTGTATTTTTCAACACCACCTGGTTAATGAATCTCCGGGTGAAAATCTAAGAAACGTTTTTTGGTAATTAATCTTAAAGTTCAGTTGCAGCACAATTGATTTCAAAGAGCATGTCTTTAGTCTTTTAACCTTTGCATTACTTTCTCCTGACCTGAGAGGTAATATATGAGAATCTAATTACCGTTCAAAAGGAGGGGGTTAATGTAAATGACGTACAAACAAAAATAAATTTGTAAATTCAGATGGGATCATGTTATGACATTTATTCAGAAGTCTGAGAGGTTAAATTCCAAACTAGACTTTCACACAAATTCATTTCTATTCCTTAGTTTTCTAAGCATGGCTTTATGTTTGTTATTTCATGCAGCTTCTGTATTTACTGTACCAAGTGTTCAACCTGAACAGTGAAATGGGAATGTCGAGTGGCTAAAAAGGGATGGAGGAGGCATTAATGTTAGTCCCGCTTCCCTTCACTAAAACAGGCCTTAAAATACACAGCTACCCGGGAAGCGTTTCTTAAAGATTCTGCCATGAAGTCCAGGGGAAGGCGGAGGGAGGAAATGGAAATTTCTTGATCTCCCACGTACTACGCCTTCTTATTTCATTTTCTTATGTGTGTTTCAGGGAAGGGAAAACCAATGCTCATGTGAAAGGAGATTATCAACGCATTGGAGATGTCATGCTCAGGAATATGCATACTCTAAAGGTAGATAAAGGATTAAAATAATGGAATCTCAGGATTGTTGAGTCATTTTTTTTTTCCTTTTGTCAAGGATGAGAGTTCAAGGTTTAGTATTTCCACTAAACTTGAAGTGACTTGCAAACAATTATTGCTGATAAACAAATTAAAAAGAAAACGTAATAAAAAATTTGCAGCAAGGCTTTATACCACTGTTGCTTATTTAACCACCTACATTTACCTTGAGGAAAGGTTGTTTGTTTATTGGTTTTTCAGCAGAAGATGAAGAAAAATCATTTAGTTAGTCTCTCCTATATTTGCACAACTTGAACTCTCCCCCGTGGAGGCACTGTTTCATAAGGTCGCTTAATTCCAAAATAGAAATATTTTTTTAACTGCAGGGTAGTTTCTTCTGAAACGCAGTCACCTTTATTTGGAGTAGAGTGCCTTTGTGGAACAGTTACACTTGTGCTGTGGAAGTGGAGTAATTATTCCACGCAAACCAGTGGCTTGAATGGAAGCGCAGCAGCGTGGGGCTGTGCTCCGAGTGTCGGCTCTCCCTGTATCTGACGATCCCGGCAGACATCGGCATAGTGCCGCACAGACCCCCACTGGGAGCTGCCTGCTAGTTTCTTTACTAGATAAACCTAGATGAGACAACCCTCTCAGCTCACTTCTGCCCCTCCTGACTTGAAAAAAAAGTCAATAATCGACAAGAATTGTCTTAGAATGGCAAAGTATTAACGGGTGGTGCAGCCAGCTGCTCCTGTCGGACGCACGCAGAGCCACGGCTGTGATAAATAGTGAACAGAGAACAATCAAGCAAATAACTCTAATACTTTTTTTTTTTTTTTAAATTAAGCCATTGAAACCTATAATGTTGTTAATGCTGGTTTTGTCAGTATTTGTGACAGTACATACAGTCTTGGATTATATAATCGTGGCCAGAGACAAAAGCAGAGCGGGGAGCGGACGCTTTTTCTTATTCACTGTGAAATCTATTAAAGACTGTTTTCCTCTGATCCGAGTAATTTTTTGTACCATTCAACAGGAGTTTACCAGTTATCTGCAGAAACATGACGAGGTCCTGACAGAACTGGAGAAAGCAACTAAACGCCTAAAGAAGCTGGAAGCGGTGTATAAGGAGTTTGAGCTGCAGAAGGTTTGCTACCTGCCCCTCAACACGTTTCTGCTCAAGCCAATCCAGAGACTGATGCACTACAAGCTGATCCTGGGGAGGCTTTGCAAGCACTACACGGCAGAGCACCGGGACTTTGCCGATTGCCGGAGTGAGTGAGCGCTCAGCTGCATCCGTGCTAGAAACCCATTCTCGTGTACATACAAAATTTTGCCCGTACCCTGGGGGAGACAAGCTTTACATCTACAAACTGAATGTAAAAGCTTTTTCTCCGTTCAGGACCTCTCTGACTCTTGCGTGCAGCTCTGAGAAATATGCTGAAAACACGACTGCTTAGTGAATACTTTAAATATCCTGAAAAAAAACCCCCAACCCAGAATATACCAAGTAGAACAGCAGAAAACTGGCAGAGGGCAGCTTAATTAAAAAAAAATAAAAATGTTTAGCTTACATTTTAAAAATAACTTTGTTTTTCTTTCAGGTTTTGGTACTAGATTTCACTACTGTTACCATGCTCTGGTGCAGGGCTCCGAAGCTTTCTGCAATAGAAAGAAAAGTGCCTTAACTGCTAATCTGGAAAATGCAAAAGATAACTTAGATGTAGACTGTTCTCTTTGCATAGAACAAATACTTCTTCTGGCATTTCAGAAAGCGTTTTTCTCATGGTTATCTTGATGGATCTTAATGTTTCAACCAAAGCTGGAAAATTAGTCCTTTTCTTGTTCCCTGTTTTAGCAGGAAAATAAAGTCGTTTTTTTAGGAACTCTTTGTCATTTATAAGCAAAAATGTGACGAAAAAATAATTGCTTTGCAGTGTCAAAAGCTTACATAGTACATTTCATTTATAAAGTAATCTTTGGCAGAAATAGTTGGCTTTTAATTTTTTAAGTTACTTCTGGCTATGTGGTAAGTACTTCCTACAGGCACAAAATCTGAGATACGCAATAATCTCCGGAAGCACAGTAAACGCTATGAAGTTGCTTGCTAGTCTCCGTAGGTAGCTGTAAAATACCAAACTATTCTGTTCTATTCTAAATCTGGCTATAAACTTCAGATTCCATTTTCCAGGGATGAAACTGGTGGCCTGGGATTGCCTGCTCTGTTCTGATCCCCTCGGTGCCGTTTTCCTTACAGATGCGCTGAAGGAAGTCACAGAAATGACATCTCAGCTGCAGCACAGTCTCATCCGCCTGGAGAATTTCCAGAAGCTGACGGAGCTGCAGCACGACTTGATCGGTATCGATAACTTGACGGCACCCGGGAGGGTAAGTACCTTGGCTTAGCTTTTAGAGCCTTTATTGGTTTTATGGCCAAGGAAGTGCCTTTCAACCATGTATTTGCCATCACTGCCTCTCTGTTTCATGGAACGACTGTGAAGGCTGTGTATTACTGTCTTCATAGTAGGTCCCATGGAGGTTTTAGGGGTGTCCTAGGGAATAGATCAAAAATGCTTCTGCTTAGACTCTGGCTACAGTTACGTGTTTCCAGTACAGCAGATACTGGCTGCGCTGGGGTGCGGCGCTCTGTGTTTGAGCGGGAAGCGGTATGTCATGTACTCGATAGGAAATGCACTGCCGGGTCTGCTTATGTCCGTCTGATGCAATCTCTGTGTAATGAGACTGCACGGAGAAAGTAGCGATGGCGAGAGCCATGTCACTGGGCAAAACTGGTACCGGTGACTCGGTTTTTCTAGCAGTGTGTTTGGTTTCCTGCTTGGTTTTTTGTTTCTTTGTTTTTGAATAGATATACTGAGCATAAGTACAGGAGCTTTTGGGATGCTATGGCAATCACTGCAGTGGGATGGAAGTGTGACAGGTGAACTGCTGGTGTCCAACAGGAACTCTGCTCCTTTTCCTTCTCTTGCTTCATTGATTTAAATGCTGGCTGCGGCAAGGAGCTGATTCATGTTACAAAACAGAAGGAAGGGTGTCATCTGGTGTTTAACAAATCTATTAGCAATCGTTGCTGGGCACCAATCAACACCTGTATACTCTGGGATGAAAAAAATGAACCGTTAAAATTCTCTGTGTTTGGGAAAGATCAAGCTTTGCCTAACATTCTCTTTTCCGCTGCAGGAATTTATCCGGGAAGGTTGCTTGTACAAGCTCACTAAGAAGGGTTTACAGCAGCGGATGTTCTTTCTGGTGGGTGTTGCTTCTGGTTTTCATAAACCCAAAGACTTCAAGACAAAGTTGTTGTGAAAGTGTGTTTTCATGTGCTTGTGGTGAAGATCAGCAGTCAGACCTGAAAACTCACTCTGAGGGATTTTTAGTTAGGGTGTGACTGTGACGTTAGCCTCTGTTCAGCTTGTTTCCTTCATGGCACACAGTTGTAACAGTATTTTAAAAATGAATTGCCTCTCTTGTAAGTAAACAAAAGAGTGGTTTTAAGGAAAGTAGGCCAAATAGACTCAGAAATGGTGAGGTTTCATGTGTCTACGGTGGCCTTTAAGCAACAGATTTTTAAAAAGATGTCAAAAAATACTTGGCCCTACCTGCTGTCTTCAGAATGCTGACTCTATTCTCCCTGCCTTTTTCAGTTCTCAGATATGTTACTCTACACAAGCAAAGGGGTTACAGGGACAAATCAATTCAAAATTCATGGACATCTTCCTCTGCATGGCATGTTGGTAAGTGCTTTCGAGTTGCATCACAAGCGTTAAGGAAATGACTTTGCCTTAAGGCAGGCTGAGGCAATTCCTTCAGGGCACGAGGACCAAAGCCACAAGCCGCTCCCAGGCCAGCCAGAGCAGCCTGCGGTGCTGCTGGCCGCGGACCAGACCTCTGCGTGGCAGAGCGCGGCGATAAGCTTGTTCCTTCCATCACATTAGCAAAACAGCTGGATGCGCCCTTTGGACCGTTCGTTTTCACGCTGCTGTGAGGGGCTGATCTGGGAATAGGGGTTTGTCCTAGTGTTTTCCCTCTCTGCGCACACCTAGGCATATAACCGGTCCCCCTGCCTCTGCACCCCCCTATTCTAATGGGACTGTTCTTTCTGTGTTTGATTTGCAGCTGATAGTGCTCGACCCACCGGTAAGTGATAAGCTGAATCCTGCTCAGAACCCTCCTTTTCTTGCCCTGTTGGATGTGGTGCTGTGCCGCTAGAGATGCGGCAGTAGAAATGCACGATATAGATTATTGTATAGAGCCAAACTAGATTGAAGTAGGTGGCGTTCATAAAAGAGTAGCTGTTCTGCAGTTCCTGCAGCCGGGTTGTAATCATACTGCGACGCCAATTCCCAGCCAGCCAAGGACAGTTTTAGTGTTTTTCAGCCACTGAGTAGTGACGAGAAAAGCCTTTTCTTTTTCTGCAGGTGGAGGAGAGCGAAAACGAATGGGCCGTCCCACACTGCTTCACCATCTATTCGGCACAAAAAACCATAGTGGTGGCAGCAAGGTAACGTTTGTTTTCCTCGATTGCCTGTAGGTTTGACAGCTGCCATCTCCAAAGGGGTACGGTTCGATGGGGCGGAGCCGGGGGGTGTTTGGTGCGTCCTCTGGAAAGCGTGACTTCAAAACAAATGCGGGATGCTTCACAGCTCCTGTATCAGTGCTGTGTTTTGGGAAGGAGTAGTTTATCTCGTTTCTAAACACTCAGCAGCAACTTGTGTTGTTTTCTGGTTAGCGAAGTTGCCAGTGTCATCCTTTAAACAACTGCTATAAAGCAGGAGACAGAACAAAATTGAAACATACCACTGTTTGAGAGACCCGAAAAGAATTAAAAATCCAGAACGTGCAGATGGCTGTAAGGAGGGGAGAGTTCCTGCATGGACCTTGTGGAGGAAGCTGGGAAGGGAGAGGGAAAGTTAAAGCCCGACTTGGAGAAAAAACTGATCCCATTTTGGTGTAAGTTATCCCTGTGCAGTGAGTTTGGTGTCTTTATTTATATCTGAAATACACTTAGGATGTCTGCTGCACCTATTCTCCCTGCTACACCTGTTCTCTCAGGATTAGTTGTAGGAGGTTTTGTCCCTCCGCAGGTCCCCTAAAAGGCAGCTGGAGTTGGGCATGCTAAGAAGGCAGGATGGGAGCACTAAATCTCAACCTTAAATTTAAAGGATTTTAAATTTATAGGGGTTTTTACTGCTTGATAACATGTCCTTGAAAAATAACCATGACTGAGCATTTATAAATCAGGTACGTAGTGACACAGGAGCCAATACTTTTGGTATGCAGGCGTATTCAGCAAGCAAAACTTTTTTTTTAATTCCAGCCTAACACCTGAAAATGTCAATTATTTTTAAGATCAACCGTTTGTCAGCAGCTGTGAATCAAAAAGTGCTTGAAAGGTTCTTAAATTTGGAAAAATAAATGTAATTTTTACCTTGTCACAACTTAGAGATAGCTCAAAGGTGGTTGTCTTTCTCATGTTATCTCTCTCTACCTGTGCAAAAAAATTGTTGCTGGGCTTAGACCATGCATGGGATTTTCAGTCTAAATTAAAAACTTCCAGAAAAAAAAAGAGACGGTTGCCAGAAAAAGTCCTGCAGACCCTCCCAAGGAAACACAAGAGCGTATAACTGTATATAGCACTGCAAACAGTTGTGCACGCAGGAATGTAGCCAGAGGTAAAAAAGAAATGCCGTGGCCATGTCTAAAGGAAAACCTTACGCTGTTGCGTACCGATGGATATAGGTACACATATACGGGCTATAAATCTCTCGCCCTGTAATCGTGGCGTGAGCCGTGTGACCCGTAATGGAAGCGATGCGGGGTGGAAGAAGTCCTCCTCTTCCTGCACTCTGCAAGGTAAATCCTATATTCCCTTTAAAGGATGTGCTGTCATTCAGGTTGCCTTTTCTCCTTAATAAAAATCGTTTCCAGTATGGTCATACCGCCCATCTCTCAAACACTTTTTGGAGTGAAAACGTGATTTCATGTGTGAAATAACTCATCAGCTATGAAGCTGTATGAAGAACAGCGACAGCCCAGACCACATAATTCCTCTTCTGAGTCTGATACCTGCAGAGGGGATTATTATGTGGCTCTCTGGCTGCCTGCTTATTCTCTTTGCTGTAAATTCCAGGTTTTTAATGGTTACTTTAGTCTTGTTTCAAGGCTTAAAAGTGGAGGTGAAGGCGGTATGAGGTCAGCTTCCTGCTGGAAAGCTCACGCTGTCACAGCTCCAGGCTGGGCTGGTCTCCATTCGCACCGTTTGTCTTGCAGTACCCGCCTGGAGATGGCGAAGTGGATGGAAGACCTAAACATGGCAATTGAAATGGCCAAGAAATCTACTGAGAAATCGGACACGCTTCTGGAGAACTCAGTATGCAATCGCTCCAACAGTAAGTGGTGTTTCCTGCCTTCTTGAAAAGCATCAGCTGTCACATCCTTTTTGTTATTCCTGTTGTGAATTTGATGACATAAATGGAGTGTTTTTATCATTCCTGTGGTAATGGAAAGTTAAATGTGCTTTTGTTTTGTTTTAATCAAAAGAAATATGCTTGTCTTCCTGGTAGCTTTAAATGCAGCAGAGATGCTCCCATTGCAGAATTGTTAATATTATGAGGTGTTATTCATCTCTTACATAGATTTTTCTCAATTTAACCATGTAGTGTATCTTCCTGTCCAGGAATTTGGTGTCGTTGTTGATCAGCAAGTTCTTTTATAGCCCAGCATTCTCGTGCCTGCCTCTGGTGGTGTTACGGATGTGCTGAAACACGTAGTATCCCTTCTTGGAACGCTTCTTCCTATTCCTCACTAAGAATTGACTGAAGATGAAGCGTGGGGATTTTGGTTTGTTTGTTTGACACAGTATCGAGTCAGGTGCCCCAAGCAGAACTGAGTAATGAAAGCCAAAATGATCTGCTCCAAGTGGCCTTTAGGAGCCGTGTAACCACTTCAAGCTGACGTATTTTAAAACTGGGCCATTGCAAGAGAAAACAGTTTTTCTCAGGAATCCCTGCTTCTCTTGCTCTTTGTATTGCACGCTTTTCTTAAACCGCTGCCGAATTCTCCTCCCCCAGGATCCTCTGATGAGGTCTCTCTAGAACAAGAGTCCGAAGATGACATACACTCTTCTCGTAGCTCCTTGGACAGGCAGAGCCACCACCGTGCCAACACAACCATGCACGTGTGCTGGTACCGCAACACAAGCGTCTCCATGACTGACCACAGTGTGGCCGTCGAGGTACCCGCGGGGCGCAGCTCTCACGTCTCACTCTGTCCCTCCTGGTTCGCTCCGCCGCCACTCGTCCTCTGCTCCATCTCCCATTTCGCCTTCGCAGCGGCGTCTCTGCGTCCCTGGGAGAGCATGGGCCGTTAAAAGGCCGCTGCATGCTTGTCCCTCTGTGCATGTCTGTGTGTCCGCATACACACGCTCCGCTCTCCTCGCAGCAGGGCTTTGCTTCAGCAGAGGCACCGAAGGAGAGAAATTTTAAAGCAAACCCAGGATATCGTAGGGCTGATTTGTTCCTTTGGGTTTCATCAGCCTTGCTGGAGGATAAGCCACCCATCCGTGGTATTTTCCTTTAGAGAGTGACTCTGCTGTACTGAGGTCTGGGTAGCTGCTCTTCTGCACCTAAAATTGAGTACTTTAAATTCAGTGGGAATGTGACTTCTCTGCCCTTCCCTGCTGGCAGGGGTGAGCAGCAAGCATTAGCAAGTGCCATTTTATGGCAGCGTCGTGTTATGCTGAACAGAGATTTATCACCTGCCCGCTGAGCTGCTGTGATTTGGGTCTTACCACTCGGCACTTGGTGCGGTGCTGGTGGCACATTTTGGTACCAAATCCTGCAGATTCAGGGGCAGATGTCTGTTCAGCGCTGCTTGTCCTGCCACTGGGGTTTCACTTTAGGCGGCAGTTTGGCAAGAGCAGTTGGGTTAGGACCCTTTCCTGGAGGCTGGGATGCTTGGAAGACTTCCAGAAGAGGGAAGGACCCTAAATACCATGAAGAGAAACAGGAGGTCACTAAGTAGACAAACAGCAATGGGGCAGGGTGCTGCATTCGTGTCTTTGGACCCTCCGCCCTGCCCTGCCCTGCTGTTAAGGCGCTTTTTGTTTAATGGAAGCAGTTAAAAGTTGGGCACTGGAGCTCCTGGGTTTTCATGCTGTGGGGAGCGTATCAAGCGGCTCAGTAAAGGAAGTCCTGTAGACGTTACCTTGGCTTAGGGTCCAGCTGGGCACTTTAGCTGGCAAAGTGAAAGGCACCATCTTGCTGTTCCGTACCTGGATAATGAGACCTCCCTGGCACAGGCTCTGGGATTAAATGTGTGAGTTCTTGCAGCTCCCTCCTTGCTTTGATCTGTTCCATGTTCTAACACCATCATTTTTTTCACAATCCATTTTCCTTTAACAGACGCCTTCCTTGCATCACTTCTCTTATCCTAATGTTCTGGTTTTCTCTTTCTCTCCCCCTTTTCTCTGCTCAGTTTTCTGCTCTCTTGCTGTTTCTCCAGAGCTTCCTCCTCGCTATTTGCTGGGCCAGGCCCAACGGCCCAACACAATCACCCATGTTTGTTGGTACCGGAACCAGAGCCTATCCCTGTCTGATTACCTGTGCATGATCCAGGTAAAAATGCCTCTCGAGTTCTGCACTGGTGGGGAGGAGCCATGGGATGCCAAGGAAAACATACTGCTGCTCGTTTCGTGATTGCTCCGTGAGCCCACGTGCGCTGGCGTGAGGATGCCCCAACCAGCGGCAGAGTTGTATCTTGTCACTTTGCCTTGCTGATGCAGGATTTCCTCCTGGTTATGCTTCCCAAAGCGGTTCTCTGTGTCATTCTGCTGCGTATCCCGTCTTTTTCTCTAATTACAAAATCCATTTGCTGTCATTCCATGCCGTAGGTTTCCTTACCCTGCTGCACAAGCGCTCGCTGACTCCAAGGTGGCAACGTTCAACTTCCCTGTTTGCCACGTCACGCTTGGCTTTGCATAGCTGCCACATGGAGCTTGTCCACAACTCTGGCACCCTCCGTTTCCTCTTCTGCTTTATTTTCCTTCTCACGCGGTGTGTTTTACGTGGTTTTTCTGCACGTAAAAACGGGTGGCTAAAGGGATGGACGCCCTCGTGGCTGTCGCCGTTCCCCTGACCGTAGGCTGGGAAGCAGAGCGGCCGCTGGAGGGGTGAGTCAGTGCAGCAGCCTCCCGTGTGCTGCCTGACCCCGAGATACGGCGAGTGCTTAAACGTAGAGGGGAGCTTGCTATCAGTGGGGAGAAATCACCAAGTTGTGAGGTAGTTGTGAATTAGTGAACTGAAGATACAAAGTCACTCGGTCACCACGCAAAATATCCGGGAGGCCTTTTACAACAGGGAGCAAGTGCGGGAGCGGTTGCAGCAGGCAGCCTCGAGCCTTTTATGTGCGGCAGCTGTCATCTTTGTCTGGAGGACAGCAACCTGTGGTTTCACGGTAGGTTTTTTTTTCCGTTCCGTGCTAGAACCAGCTCTCTGGATACTTGCTGAGGAAGTTCAAGAACAGCAACGGCTGGCAGAAACTGTGGGTCGTCTTCACCAACTTCTGCTTGTTCTTCTACAAAACGCACCAGGTGAGCAAATGCAGCTGAGGGGACTGCGTTTGGGGCGTTGAGGTCCCCGGCTTTCGGCTACGGTGCAGCTCTCTGCTGTTTGAAGGAGAGTAACACGTGGAAGAGGAGGTAGTTTGCAGCACAGGCGTTCTCTGCGAGGCCATGGGCCTTCTCACAGAATTTAATCGGGATTTCCAACTCCAATGGTACTGATCTTCTGTGGGTGAGGGGGAAACGTTTCCTCGTGCAGTGATTAATGGAGGTGAGGGAATTGGCAGCCTTGGCACAGTCTCTGTCCGTTTCTCTCCCTGCTGGGCTTCAGCACAGTTAAACGGGTTTTTCCGCCCGTGGCGCGTTCGGCGCCTGCTTGGTAACAAACGGTGCTGCAGTGCAGCCTGTGCCTCTTCATCTTACTAACCCAATAAACTGCGTTTAGTTTATCCAGGCTTCTTGCCTTGAGGGCACGTTCCTTTTGGGAGGGATATTTTAACTTTTGGGTTTGCAGAGAGAGCAGGGGACGGGCAGGGGAGTAGAAGCAAATAACTCTATAAAAACAGTGAAAGGACTTGGGGGAAGGTTTCCTTATAAGCTCTCAGAAGCCTCACAAAAGATAAAGGCTGCTGCTCCTCCCGTTCTCTCCTAAACAAAACCACAAGGACTTTACCTGTACAGCGCAAAAGGGCGCGTGGGTGTTGGGATGGACAGTGTGCGCTAAGGGCTGGGCTGTCGGGCTGTTCCAGGATGATTATCCCTTGGCCAGTCTCCCGCTGCTTGGCTACGCGGTCAGCTCCCCTGGAGAGGCAGACGGTATTCAGAAGGATTATGTCTTCAAGCTGCAGTTCAAGTCCCATGTGTATTTCTTCAGGGCCGAGAGCAAATACACCTTTGAGAGGTAATTTTTTTATTTTCTCTGTCTGTCTTGGTATATAACACGCTGTTAAGTCACTGGTTGATCATCCAGAGCCCTCTCTTTGCTCCTGACTACCTCCTAGTCCGAGTGACCTTACGGCACATTCTCAGTAATGAAGTTCCCTTCCTCCTCCTACTGATGCTGTTGGTGATCCCTCCTCTGCCAGAACCGTCCTGCTTGCGGGGCAGAGCTGGTGGTTCCCCCCGGAGCTGTAGACTCTGCTTTGTCTCGGGACTCTGGGGCTTCCTCGGAGCTGGGGAGCGGCGTGGGTGGAAGGGCTGCGAGATGCAGTCAGATTTCTAGGTTAATGAGAGTTCTGATAAGAATAATTTACTTCCCCCCCCCCCCGCCTCTATCTCTGGAAACAGGAATTATAACACAAGGGTGAGAGCAACAAGCGCAGTGCTGCTTTTCGCTGTACTGCTTTTTTTACACACGTGGTCCAAAGTGAATCATGTTTAAAACGCATCGTGTACAGAACTTTACTATTACGTTAGCTGTTGAAAACCCTCGCGTTGCGTTCTGCCCTGCAAGGTAGCACGGGTTGTTTCAGAGTGTGGTTTGATGGAGAAGGTGTCACATACTTCCCCTTCCTTGGGAGAGTATCACACGCTTGTGAGCGACGTACAGGTCAGCTACCCGAGAGAGCGGAGTTGTGGTCTTTAATCCACTGGTCTCGTGTAGTCATTTCGACGAAAAAAACATCAAATATCGATGTTTGACCTTCTTTTTTCACTGTTGCTTTGCTTTCTTCCATCTGAGCAAGTCTACTGCATAATTTATTGTAAGAAAAGCAATTCATTGACTAAGGAAAATTTGCATCAGCCTGTCCTCCTTGGTAAACGCTTCCTGTACGCTTGCAAGAGAATACGGTGCGGTCTCGTATGAGCTTGCTGGAGCTCAAAGCGCTGTAGAGCCGTTACTTGGACAGGCAGCCATGTTCTGCAGTGTATTTACCACATCTCAAGCTATTAATTGGAAGAATTAGTTTCCTAAAAGAACTGTAAAAGGAAAGTAGAAAACGGCTATTTTGTGAGGTTTGGTGAAAGGGGCAAAGCTCATAACCGAAGGATGAGAGTGTGGTTGAGCACTTCTCGCGGCCTTTCTTGCCAGGTGGATGGAGGTGATCAAGAGAGCCACCAGCTCTCCGGCCAGGTCGAGCCTGCTGCTTCCGAAGGATGAGAAGGACAGTCACACAGACTGAAGCGGGGCAGAGCTGGATCTCTGCTGTAAACATCAACGACAGAGGCAGGTGGAAACAGAGGTCTCTGGAGTTGATAGAGCAAAGACCCAGGAGGCTCATTTCCATCTGGTGCGGAACGTGGGAGCGAGGGAGTTGCGGATGGGGATCACATCCCTTCTCAGTGGTGTGGAAGAGGGTCAAGTCTGTTCCACTTGGACCTAGAGAGAACCTAAGAACTGCAGAGCTCCGGTGTGCGCACGTCGCGGAAGGTTTGTTGTTCCGGTTGTACCTGTACAGTAACACCCTTGCCTGCCCTGAAGGCAAATGCCACCTTGTTTCCACATTTTGACTGGATGGTCAGCACACACGGGAGCAAAACAGTGGCTGGCAGCGGCACGATCGGCTCCGGCTGCTGGTGCCAGGGCCTGCTGGCTCCCAGGAGTTCCCCCCGCTTCTGCTCGGCCTGGCTCGCTACACAACCGCTGCCTTGCTGCTGTTAACGTCAACCTGCCGGCACAGTCGGACTAACGGGGGAGCCGCAGGTGTGTTGGCTTAAACACGGTTCATTCTGAACAGAAACTGCAGCTCTCCTAGAACAGTTCTGCTCTTTGGAAACTGCCGTGGCAGCAGTTTTCCAGGGGAACTTTTCCAGACTGAGCCTCTGCAAAGCTGTTGAGGTTTCGGTGTATTGTGGGTCAGTACAGGTCGGGTGCACAGCTTTTCCTCTGAACTCTGCTACGGCACGTGCTGAGAGGGTCAGTCGCTGTTCTCATATCACAGCTCCAGAGTTTCTTTATCCTGTAGTAGGCATCACCTAAGGCATGGGACGGCAAACACTCTCCACACAGACTCTGGGTGATGTTTTCAAGGCATTTAAGCGATATAGGAGAACAAGCTTCTCTGAAAGTCATGGCTGCTTGTGCTTGTGTCACGCAAAGACTTCTGAAAATCCCTATTCTTACCTTTAAATTTGGGGTGGGATCCATCTTCCGTTTCTCATGAAGGTGTAAAAGTCACTGGATTCCAGATGGAGCATTAGTGTCTGTGGACTATTAAATCTCTGTATTAAATCTGAAGTGTTTGCAATTTGTTCTGTTTTGTAAAGCTGTCGCCTTCGGTTGCCTCCACGGAAGGACTGAAATAAGCTAAGTGCCACAAAATGCCGTTGGACGTGGCTTTGATGGGCTCTGGGGACTCTGCTTTTATATTAGATAGAAAAGTATTTATGTACTAGAAGAAGGAACAATGAAGTGGTGTAGTGAAAGACAAAGGAAAGTGCTGCGTGTTGTGAGGACGGAGGATCCCTGTGAACGCGGGAAGCGCAGAGGCCAGCGTGTGCATTCGCCGGGGCTGTTTCTGGTCGTGGTATAAAACACGTGTGGGATGAGGACTGCAGGGAGGGGGTCCAGAGGGGTTTTCCAGACCGCTCGCTTGGTGTTAGCATCCTAGAGACAACGAGCGACTGCAGATTCAGCCTTCGCTACCACCATCACAATGACCATTGTCCCATGTAAGTTAAATGTACTTAATTTATTAGTGTCTTCTCTTTTTTTTTTATTTAACTGTTGTAGGTGTATACATATGGATTGACTAGATATGTTATAACGCAGCTGAATATGACTTACGAAAGTAAATAGCGTCTTGGTATAAAACTATCTCAGCCTCTTATTCCTGAGCCCACCTTCCCCATCCGTGGCCACGCGCTGGGAAGATGGAGGGCATCCGTGCAGAAGCATCACTGTGCCTTGAGCCCGAGCGGTTTCGCACTGTTGATTCATGGGTCGTTGCATTCAGTGGTTTTCCTGGCTGCTCCTTTGTCCCACTCACATGCTGGCGTCGCTCGCAGGAGTGCTTTCCTCTTTCAGGAGAGCTCTCCCACGCAGTCACTGCCCCGTGCTGGTCTCCTGCGGGGAAGCTCTGCCAGAGCAAGCTGCAGAGAGGAGCAGCGGGGTCTCTGCCAGCAGCTGGGGGTTCGGCACTTAACCCCGACCTTTAGCTGCTGTCCCCTGCTGCAGCAGGGCTTTCTAGCGCCAGGATTTGAAACGCTTTTTTAGAGTGTCCAGGTTAGTCAGTAGTTTCCCAGGACTGTGGTTCTCTGCTCACCCAGCATCAGCTCTGCTCCAGCCGCAGCAGAGAGCGAGTGCCGAGTCAGAACGGTGCGGAGGAGGATGCGGAGCTGCCTTCCCAGAGCCTGTGAGTGCCAGCAGGCCAGGGAGCAGCTCCAGGGCGGGAGGGACAGACACACCGCCTGAAGTTACACACGGATAAAGGCAGAGTCTTGGGTGGGGGACAAAGTGTCCCCACCACAGTCTGGGGATGGTGCAGCCAAGTTTCGGGCCTGGGGCAGAGGCCCCTGGGGCCTTTACAAGCTGTTGAAGGGCAGTGCCAGTTGCCAGAGACACCATAGACGAGCAGGAGAAACCTGTGTGTCTGTGAGTGCGCAGTATGAGAAGGTGCAGTGTTCTCTGCCTGGGGTGAAATAGCCTGGGGTTTAATTAGGTTTGTGTTGTTGGGGTTTTTTTTTTAAACTAGCTGACACAGATAGCTAACTTGACATCAGCTAGACTTTGTCTAAATTACCCCCCATAAATGAGCTGTTGATCTCCTTAGCATCACGCGTTGAAGCTCAGGCTGATGCGTACTGGGTGTTGCAGGAGATGGGAGGAACTTCCGTAACAAGAGTATGAGAAAAGAACAGATTCCAGCTGGGCCTTAATCATTAGTTTCTTGCTAGCAGGCTGTAGGTGAAGGGAGCTGACCCCATGCTCTTGGGACCTCCTGGCTTAAAACCAGCCGCCATTTCTGGTAAATATGACCGGTTTTCCCTGCTTCCCGCAGGGCTGGCTGGCCATCAGTCCGTTCTCCATTGCTTAAGAAACCAGAACAAGGAAGTTTTTGGAGTAGTTCCTACCATGTGTTTAATATAACATTACTGGAGCGGTTCTGGTTTAGCAGTGCTGCACTGAGAGGTTCCTGACCAGCTGCACCGTCACCACTGTCCTGTCACCAATCCGCTGCACGTAGCATCTAACAAAACTCCCCAAAGGCACAGCCGTACGTTTGTGGGGCTCTTTTTGGCTCCAAGAAAATAGCTGAGGCAGGACTGCACAGCTTGGGCGTGGAGCCGGCTGTAACCTTCACCTTTGGGTCCCTGCTTAGGGAGGGACAGTCGTACACAAAGTTTTAAACGTGCTGGAAGTGGCGTCTCCCAAGTGTTTATCCTGTAACTGGGCTCACACCCAGAGTGTGGCTGGGTTGGCAGGGCCCTCAGGAGGTACCCTACCTGTCTGGCCCGACCCGGGGCTGCGGCTGGCCTCCCGTTATCTCCAAGGATGGAGACGCCACAATCTCTCTCTGGCGAACCTCTGCCCCTGCCCAGACACCCCAACCACCCGACAAGGCAGAGATACCCCAGTGGCAGCTTCTATAGCCCAACTCGAGTCTAAACAAACAGACTCCAGCAAAAACTGCACTGAAGTGTTGTCCAGAGCGCAGCTCCACTTCTGCCAAGTGCGTGTGTCCCTTAATAGCGGTGTATGTATGTCAGCAGACAGGACTGACGCGTATTCCATACTGCACAAACTGTGTTTAGAGGGGTCTGTCTCACAGGTCGCTGTTAGCGCTACCCAGGGCAGGAAGATGGAGGGGAAGGCAAAGAAAGGGCAGCTTGAGCAACTGCTTTTCCCCTAATAATACAAAGTTACACCAGCCTCATTTGTTTTGTTACTTTATTGAAAGTGGCAGATCCCTTTCAATGTTTTTAAAAACTAAAACCTTTGTCGCTTTGAATACTGGACAGAGTTTGTGGGGATTGTTTCCTTTAAAAAGTTTACTCATTACACTGCGGTGCATGTGAGTAATACTACAAGGTACCTTATCGACACGATTTGCTACCGTCATGAACAGCAACTTTAAAAGCAGCAGGAGCCCTTCAGCCACCTCTGCTGGGCTGCAGCCGCTGCCTTCCCCCTAAGTTTCCTGTCTACACGTTAACTCCTTTTCCTGGGGGGGGGGTGTGGGGTGGGGGTATTCTGCTCTTCATAAATGCAGGCTCTGTGATGGCTCTCAGCCACCACTCTGCAGCAGATCTCCAGCACGATCAACCAGCAGCACGTCTTTGCGACTGGACAAGTTCATAGTGTTTGCTGAGCCTGTGTTTCTCCATCAGAGAGGAAGAGCGAGGGATTGGCATAAGCTAAAGTGAACACTGGGAGGAGGGACCGTACGGGCCTTCGGAGCTACTTTTAGCCCAGCACAACAATCTGCAGGTCTGAATCAAAGTACCAAAAATCAGCCTTGTTACTAATGAAGTGGCCTATCTTTAAAAAGAAAAAAAAAATTTAAAAAATGCTGAACAGCCTCAGCTTTTGTTCTCAGTGGCTTTGGGGCGAGCCACATCATTCACACACAAACACCCAGACAGACAGCTCTGGATATCTGAGGTCTTGCTGACTTCATAGGAATATCTTTACAATTAGAGAACAGATCTCTAAGCAACCAGCTGTCAGAAGTTACTTCCCTATGTCTGTTTTTCTAGACCCTGAAAGTACAGGTTTAAGATCTGTGCATTTACCAGAATTAAAGATTTGCTTTATAAACTAGTGGTATACAGAAAGCAAAGTTAGTTGGGGATGGCTCCACTGGAATATCTTAAGCAGCCAGGGTGGCAGCAGACACTTTAATTTACCACCACCACAGCTTGTCAATTGGAGCAGAGCCCTGGCTTCAGCAAGTTTAGATCCCAGGCTGAAAGAGGAGCCAGAAAGGGAAAGCTGAGAAGAAGGGGATGGGCCCCAGAGCGGCTTCTGTGAGCCCCCAGCCACAGCACAGGGATACCAGCCAGCGCTGCTAGCCTCCGTCCAGTTCATACCCCTCTGCGGGGGACGCGTTTCTTGCCTCAAGAACTGCCACAGATCAGCCTGTCTTTTGAACTGAAGCCCTGTCAGCACCTTTGGCTGCTGTGTTCCGCCCCCCCTGGTCCTCTTTTTTAATCCTCCTGCAACATTTGGGCACACACAGTA